CTATATCTTTAATATCAAATATCGCCAAAATTTTTGAAAAATTAATACAAATCAGGATTACAAGTTTTTTCAACAAACATAATTTATTTTCTAATAAATAATTTGGTTTTAGACAAAGGTCTTAGCACAAAAAATGCCCTATACTACCTAACTAACTCAATATACAATCAACTAGATAAAAGTAAATCAATAGCAGCAACTTTCTTGGATCTAGCGAAAGCTTTTGACACTGTGGACCACAAAATTCTACTCAAAAAACTCTATAGATATGGAATTAGAGGTAGTGCGTATGAACTTATAAAAAGCTATCTAAGTAATAGAAAACAAAGAGTTAAAATTAATGGTGAATATAGTCAATATCAACACGTCAACATTGGCGTACCACAAGGTACAATATTGGGACCTTTATTTTTCATAATCTACATTAATGATATGTTACAATTGCTACCAAATGATAATGTGTTGGCTTTTGCTGATGACACGGTAATTATCGTGAAAGGCGAAACATGGCATGAAGTCGAAAAAAATATGAACTTCTACTTAAACAAACTATCCATTTGGCTAGCATTGAATAAACTGTCATTAAATATTGACAAAACAGTATACATGGCATTTGGAAATAACTGCAATAGCAACTCAACATATCTACATATAAATATAAAAGGTACATCCATTCGAAAAGTTGATAACACTAAATACCTTGGAGTGCATTTCGATAGCCATATGAGATGGGACATGCATACAAACATGCTATACAATAGACTAAAATATTTAACTTATATTTTCTACAAATTATCTAGGATAATGAGCACAGATAATCTACGTATGATTTACTATGCACTTTTCCATAGCATAATAACATACGGTATTATAGCATGGGGTGGAGCATACATTGGAAGACTCAAATATATACAAACTCTACAAACACGACTATTACAAATAATAAATAAAAACAAGTTTATAAATGAAAAAAATCCACTAAACATAGATCAAACATTCACCATGGAATCTCTAGTGTATCACTATGTCAACCTGCAAGATATGTTCCTGAAGAAAAATTCCGTAACAAGGAAAAAAACTATACAGCCCCTTAAAAGAAAATTAGCAATCAGCATTAAAGATAGCTATACAAGAGCTTTAGCCACCTTCAATCAACTACCTTCTCACCTCAAAACTTTAAATGGCAATACTAAAACAATAAAGGACAAAATAAAAAAATGGATAAAAGGCCATCCATTCTAGATACAGAAATACAATGAACCACAAAATACATTGCAACAATTTACAACAAATATATTACAAACTAAAGCAACAAGGGAACTTTGATAATAGTCTACATTCAGCATTGGAAGTCCATGTGGATGTGGATAGGGATAAGTTTCTCTTGGATGTAAGGACATATTTGTGTTCACAAGGCACTTGTACACTTCATTACAATCGTTCTCATCGTCGAATGTCTGAATATAACATGAAAAAAATTAATGTATCAGATAACTACAGAAAAATAATAGAAATAATTGCTAATGTGATTAACATAGCTTGGAACTCACAACGGATAACTATTAATACCAAAACAAAAAACGGACTCAAAGAGGGAAAAAGAAACGAAACTTACATTCAAACAAAAACAGATAAAACCAACATAAATTTCATTAATAAATGTGTGTATTGCACATACAAACAATTAATTGGTAAAAAACATATACATTTCATAAAAGAAGAAAACAAAGAAGATCACAAAGAACCAAATACAGATAAAGTAAGATATAAACCCATAGAAACAGTATTTAAACAAATAGATGACATTGCAGACAATAATAGTATGCAAATAGAAACAAATAAACCAAAAAATAAACCAGGAAAACCGATTCTACAAACAAATAATATTCGAATGACCTATGGAGACATCAATTATCTTGGAAAAAATAAAGCATTATTATACTTTTATAGAGGTATCAGAGGATATCAAACTTTCACTAATTCATTGTACTCACTTGAACAACAACCTAAATATAAAGATTTAATAGTCTTAGATGACATAGTATTCACAGCAACATGTAAATGTGATTCATATAGACAACATACTGAAATGTTCCCTCACTATAGAGTCACGTGTGCTACAGGACTTACTTGTCCTGTTAGACTAAATACATACGAAAGAATATCATATGCAAGAAAAATGAAAGCATCAATGATGACAATCGTAACGGCCAGACAAATGTTAATCAGATATTGGAGATAGCAGAACAAAATCGAAGATAATTGGTGAAGTAAGCTTTTATAGGAAGCATTCTTGCTACCAATATTAAGCCATACTTCATCTGTGAAATATTATAATCTATTACAAACCGACTCTTAGTTTTAAGTTTTTTGTTTTTTTTTTTCTTAATTTTCTTTGTTTTTTTTTTTTTCTTAATTTTCTTTAAGTGTTTAGTAGTTTTAAAATACCAGACCAGCGAACAGGTTTATCCTCTGCCGGGTTACAAATTTGTAATTGTAAAATTGTATAATTATTACTACTTGTTGTAATATTTTGTACTATACTCTGGTTAATAATAATAATAATAATAATAATAATAATAAAATAATAATAATAATAAAACTTCCCTATAATCGACAAATTCAACCACTTAGATCTCTTTACATCTACCCCTAACCATCCTCTTAAACACAAATACACCATCCTAAATTCATAAAATAACTTATTCCTAAAAATCTCTCCCTTCATTCAACCTCTCAAAATTCCTCTCCCCTTCCCCTACAATAATATATTCACCATGCACAAACCTAATATTAACACTCTCATTGGATCCAAAATTAAATCTTCACAATCTCCCCACACTATATTCAACAAACTTTTTAAAGAAAAATTACAAACCACTCTTGCTATCTTCACAGATACATCTAAACAAAAAAATAATTCTCACGTTGGCTTCGCGTATCTCATACCTCACTTAAACACTCATGAAATGTATAAAATCACCTCCCTCTCCTTCATATTCACAGCTGAAGCCCTTGCTATCTACATGGCTCTAATTTTCATCTCTAACAACTCCCACAACAACAATAACTTCACCATCTTTTCTGACTCTTTGAGTGTTTTAAAAGCCATACATCACTTCTCTCCTTTAAAAAGTAAAAATACATCCCACTTCATACTAGACATTAAAATAATCCTTTTTTAATTGCAAAAATAAAACAAACTGTTGAACTTATTATATACTCTCACTCTCAAATAGCACATAATGAAACAGTAGATCAACTAGCTAAATCAGCTATCACAAAATGCGTTAATACATTAATTCTGCTCCCATACTCTGATTTTCTTGAAGATATTCAACACTCTCACAGAGAGCATCTTTTCAATTCATAGTACTAGATCAAACCTCCTACAAAGGTTCTCACTAATTTCATAATTACTATTTATCCACACCATCTAAACCATGGTTCCACAAAACTTACCTTCATAGAAAATATATCACCTCTATTAATAGACTCAGAAGCAACTACTATTCTCTAGCAACTAGTCTATACAGAAAGAACTTTAGGCCCCGGTTACATATGTACATACGGATGCGGACGGATACGGACGCAAATCGCAACTCTAGTAATATCTTTAAAAATATCTAGTTCGATTATTTAGTACCAACACTACCGGTAGTAAGCAAAAGTGACTGTTGTTTAAAACTGTAGCGCCGAACGTACCACATTTAATGTTTAAATGTCAGGTCTACAATTTACTTTTCAAAGTTTTATGAATATTGCTTATTGATGAGTATGCTAATGTAAAAAAAGTTTTTGGGATGATTAATAAATATCATTTATATATATTTTCTTCTTCTTCTCATATATTCAAGTACTTTCATTATTAGGCCTAATTCCACTAATTATAGTTAAAAGACTATCAATTCTCTATCATTTGCCATCTTATAGACTGCAATAATGTAAAGGTTAGATAGGAGTTCATTAAATGTGGTACGTTCGGCGCTACAGTTTTAAACAACAGTCATTTTTGCTCACTACCGGTAGTGTTGGTACTAAATAATCAAACTAGGTAATTTTAGTGATGTTACTAGATTTGCGATTCGCGTCTGTATCCGTCCACATCCGTATATGTACCTATGTGACCGGGTCCTTAGTTAAGACTGTTTACAGAAGGAATCTGACACAACGAAAATACACTAATTTTGACATGACAAATATACATAAAAGGATATTTTAGCTTGAGAAACCTCCGAAATGTTTAAATAATTATCTCAGTAGCATTCTTAAGGATCAATTATGATAATAAAATATCTTAATAATTTTTGTGTGAGCGCAGATTTCAAATTACACAGAATGACATGGATAACCGCTTTATTCATGGCATACGTATATATGATTTAAAGACTAACATTTTGCGGAAAGTTGTTATATGTATTCTATTGCTATTATTGTGTTTATAAAACGCTAATTTAAACATCTCGAGTATTTTTTAGCTTAAAAACAACGTATTACGTACATTCCATATGTTCGAATTCATGTAATTTTTTAAGTGTCAGAATCGGTCTGTGAATACCCTAAGAGACCCACCGCCATCGAGTGAATTGAACTTAACTGAACGTTAATTTGAATTCCTAATCTACCCTACGAAAATCTTTTCTTTCTCTACTTTGAGAGTGGGTACAAATTCCAGAAAGCAGTTTTCTGATGGAACAAATTAAAATAAAACTAGTGGTATTTTTATTTTTTAAGATATCAATTATTTTTCTGCCAGTAGAATGAGTTTTCCGAAATATCGTTTTTTTCGCTTTTTTTTTAATTGGGGGGGGGGGGGGGGGGTTACAAATTCTAAAATGCAATTTTCGGGTGGTACAAATTAAGACAAATCTAATGGTATTTTTTTTTGAAAAAATCAATTATTTTTCTGCCAGGGTCGTCTCGATGCGAAAATTGCAAGGTCTGAAGTCAACTGCAGGAAGCTTTTTGACAGAATCGCCCAACCCTGAATTACTAGATCAGCAATTATTTGGATTTGTAAATATATTGTTCAATGTAATATAAATTTTTATTAATTGAAAATATTATCTAAAAAGAATACTGGCTGAAGTTAAATTTGTCAACTACATATTGATAAATTTCAGTTGATAATTTTTCTTGTCAATGTAAGTACTTAAAAGAAAATTTACTTGCATATGCGAATGAAAGTAGCTTACTGTAGAGCGAGGTTAGGAAGAAAACAAAAATTATAATTTTCGAATAATAAATAGATAATGGTAGTATAGTAAAAAATAATTTCATCCCCTTTTCAAACTGCTATTATTTGACTTCCTGATCTCGCTTTGAGTAGTCATGATCTTGCAACATAAATACGAGATGTTTTGACAAATTAGTTTTATATAATTTTAATGGTTCAGTTATAGCTTATTTGATAAATATGATTTTTTAGAAAATTAATAATAAATTATTAAAAAATAAGTAAGTTTTCAAATATTTTCTGTATCAAAACAATTAAGTAGCTTGAATAAGTTAAAACTAAGAGAATATGATTCTCTCAGCATACTATTAAATGTTTGTACATTTAGAAAGGCAGTGGAATCTGGTTAAAATAAATCGATGTTTATATATAGGTCCATCTATACATTTATATATGTTTATAAAATTAGGTTGTTCAAGAGATCCAGAATTCCTCTCCTCAGGATGGATGTAGAATAAAGGCTCAGTTATTACACAATGACAATCATAACAAGAAATATTTATTTATGTTTTTTCAACAATGTATATATAAGATTATAAAATGATAGCATGGTCAAATAACTTGAATTTAGAATATAAATTACAGTTATTTTTTGATAGCATGATATAGACATTGTGGAAACATAAATGAAAATTTATTATGAGAATTGTAATTGGTTACTTTGTAAATTACTAAGACTTTATTCCACATGCATCTTGATGAGAGAGGTTTTAGGTATCTCCTAGATGTTAACCAAATTTTATGAATAAAGATTATTACTAAGATGGATCCACGTAAGAAAGATTTTTTTTCAACCAGATGTCATTATCTTCTTATATGAATCTAGAACTAAATAAATGAAAATAATTTATTCAATGAAATTTTAATCATTTGGTTATACTAATTAGGGAAATTAACTTATTTATTTCCTTCTTACGTTTTAATTTTATGTCAAATGTTTTTCAAGAAGAACCAAAATGTCAATAACAAATTAAAGTAATTCGTAATACTAATACAGACAAAATTATGAAATTTTATTTATACATCTAAATGACAGTAAAACAAGTTTAGTGATATTATATGATACCAAATTTACTATTCTTATAATGTGATATATAATATTACATTATACGAATTATAAGATTGTGTAATATTGACTTTTAATAAATATATTATAGTCTTGATGTGATCAGTAAAATAAAAAATGAAATGGTATTACATATGCTACTAATTATACATTTCGTTAAAATGGTCTCAATACTTTTTTGTTGTACACAATAAGTGTATACTTTGTTTTTAGATAAATATAGTTTGGATTTCTAGATCTTGATTGTAATCTTGATAGTGAAATAAAAAATAAATTAGTTTTTTTTATTCGAAAATTTGTTTATTAAACAAAATAAATTACGTAAATGTTTAAAAAACATAAATATTTTTAAATTATCTATAGAACAGTTAAATTTTATTAGAATCATTTGATACAATTTTTGTTTTTTCCAAAAAATCATGGAATGAAAATTTTTAAAAACAGCTTGAAAAAATTTAGAAGTATTCTCTGACAATTCCTAAAATATTTTCATTCTTGATAAATTTTCAGTAGAACCTATAGTTAATAAACAACATTTTTAATGTTCATTCTTTTAATTTAACAAATCTTTTTCCTTGATAATTATAGATTTTATTGAAAATAATATCGTAAGAATAAAAGCATTTTATAATTTGTCATGAAATATTTCTAATTTTTTTAGACTTATTTAAAGATGATTATCAATATTTCGACTCTGTAATTTTTCCAGGAATCAAGTTTTGTATTAAATGGTTCTAAAAAAATGAGCAGGTTTTATTGTTAAATCTATGCCATTTTTGTTATTTTGAAGTTTCCACAAAAGTTTTCGTTATATAAAATCATCAAGTGGAAAAATAACTTCATTATAGTTTTGACCGTCATTTTATTTAAGATAGATCCACATAATATACATATTATCAACGCTTATCGACATGGCTTGAATATTACGTTATTCTCATTCAGTTTGGAACTTAATATAAATAGTTTACCTTACCATTTGTTAAGTAAATCTGAATGGCGAATGACTGAAATATGTACTAAAAGTTCAAAACTGAAAGAGAATAATGTAATATTCAGAGATATGTTACATTACAATATAATGCCGTTAATACATCACCTTAATAAATGCAACTTGTTTCTTTTTTTTAGCTATCAAGGCCATGACCTAGATAGTTTTAGGCATATAGAAAAAACTTAAATAGAACGAAAAGATTTTGAAAATGTACAACTTCAGAATTTTTTTTTTTTGAAGTTTGTATAATAATTGCTAAAAATGTCCATTAATTTCAATCACAAAGAATTAGTTTGAACAATACTTATCATAAAAATCAATTCAAGAGTATTTTATTAAATTGTATTGTATATATTTTAAAAAGATTTTTTAAAAAATTTCTCAATAGTATTGACCAGTATATGGTGAATGAGAACTATAGCTAATCGATGCTGTAATCGTATTATATGATTTCTAATGATTGTTTCAAGAATAATTTTCCAATAGTATTTAATTCAACAGCTCTTGTTTTATCATTTAATGAATAGAGATTTTATGAAATATTCGATCGTAACGAATTAATGATATTTTAGAAATCACAATGGATACTTATACACACACACACACACACACGCGCGATATTAAGATAAATATAATTTTTCACCTCGTGTTTTCAACCTATCGCCTTATATATAATGCTTTTTTTCTACAAGATCAAAAATATTAATCTAATATATATGATACATCGATATTCGTCCTAAAGATTGCAATATTTTAATATTAGAATGAAGCAGTTGAAAATTAAAAAAAAAAATTAGTTTTACTAATAGTATGGAAAAGAGTATTTTCATATCTAATTATACTATGTTTGAAATTGAATTGAACGTTATATTCTAAACGAAGTGTCAATTAATAGGTTTTGAAGTATTGAATGAATTTGAACGATTTCTAATCATTTTCAAGTATTTCTAATATAATTATCAAATATTCAATCTTTTTCAAAAGTAACACAAGCCGACATCCAAAATAAATTCAAAAATGCGATAGTCTGAAGGTATTCGATGCGCTGAATCCGAATGTGGTTTAAGAATTGATCCAACTTGAGGTTCTTAAAATATAAGTAATTTTCAATTAGTTCGGAATTTTGTGTGACGCTATATTTTCTGTGCACAATACCTTTTACTCGTTTCTCATCCAAGAACTAAATTAAATACATTGTTTACAACATGTAAACACAAATAAAAGTATTCTAGTATATATTTTGAAGACAAAAATACATACGATACATAAACAAAATAGAAAAATTGGCAGAAACCGACCTTGAAAACTTCAACAAATTTTCTTTTCTGTAGAATTTGGCGTGTCTTTCGACAATGTTTAAATAAGTAATGAATTTTAAGCATTTGGTAAGCGTAACCGAATATGACATATTAGAAATGTAAGCTCTTAATAGGGGAAAAGTTATGAAGTACAAAAGTGGCATGACTACTTTTTAGCATTTTTAATGTTTATTGCTATTATGCTGCATCGCAATTGGAGCGTAAACAAATTTATAAACGGTGGAATCGTGTACTCATAATTATGAAATAAACACGAAATGTATACTTAAGAAGGAAAAACGTATACGATAGCAAAAATGCATATTTTTTATTAGCACATCATCTATTTTTAAAAATTTTTGACTAAATACATTTGTGTTCCATTATTTACAACGTTATTAAACTAAAATTCACTCGCCCCATTTTTACATCGTTATTTAAAAAGTTACAGAGCGAAAAAAAATATGGAAAATTCAGGGAAATATGTTTAAATTTATTACGCTTGCCATTCCTATTTAAATACATTTTGAACGAATAAATCGATAAAGTCTTGCATTAATAACTTTCCGAACATACTTTGGAATGCAGTAAGTGTTAATTGCAGCATTCAATGTAAGTGAACTCGAAGTGACGTCAAATTCATTGTATGGTCTTTTGAATGTACATTAACATCGATCGAATACTTTGAGCTCTAAGAACCTGCAACAGCATATGACGAAATCCACTAAAAAATCGGTGCACAGTTATAGACAAATTTTTTATTTAAAAAATACTTAAATATTTATTTATTTTTAAAATTAACTATTTGTACTTATTTGATTAGAATTTTGGTTTTATTGTTTAATTATTGTTAAATAGAAAATAAGGTCGCAGCTCATTTTTCGACTTTGTCTCGATTTTGTTGATCCTTGTGTAATATATAAAATAAGAAAAAGTTTGTTTGAAAGTACTAGATTAAAAAAAAACATTTTCGATTTTCGGTGTTTACAAAATGTATATTTTGGTGGATTTCGTCGCATAACCTTCACGTGCAATAAATATTTTATTGTAATTTGACTTCACTGATTTTTTATTTATTATCTTTCATGATTTACTAACTTATTCTTCAAAAATAAGTTAAAAATCACGAAAAAATTTAAAAAACCTGTAAGAAACGTTAATAACGTTTAGTTCGTTACTTTAAAATGTTGCACCCCGTTGGATTTTCTATTCTAACAATTGAAGGAACGTATATTAAAAATTTCAGACACGTGCTCAAAATATAAAAAAAATTTTTTTATAATATAATCCAAAGTTTGTGAGAATTGTCCATATTTAAACCTAAAAGTACAAAAATTACGATTATTTACTATTTTTAAGATTATGTACCGCTGTAAATAAATTTTTTTTTTCAAAAAACTAGTAAAATCATTTTTAAGTATCACTTTTTGGGTTAGAGATATCTTTTATTTTCATTACGACATCATGGATTGATATTAAGTATTTTACCAGTTTCGCAATAACATTAAAAACACAGGTTACACGGGTCGAGGATTAATATGGCCACAGGTTAC